GTATTGTACGAATCCAACCTCTTAACGATTTTTTTCTGTTCAAAACCAACAGCTTACTTTTTGCTCGTGTAGCCATATTATAATGTAGACAGTGATGAGTGCCTGGAATATCAAGTGTCTTGACATCGAACTGAGTAAAATTGCATATAGGCTTGTACTTTTGACCTTGCAAGTACCACCAAAAAATGGAATTTGCTAGAGGTGTTTTCCGGAGGTAGAAAGAGTTTCTGATACTCCTTATTTAGGTCCAAGTGGGCTCCCGTACATTTGAAGCGCAAGAACTGCAGAAACTCATTCCACAGCTTGAAGAAGCGATCCAGGTATGAGCATTTGTTATTCTGTGGAATACTGCTACTTTGATAGCTGCTTCCTTTTGGAGTCTATAGTATCTCTTGGCAAGGCATGCGACCACCTTTTGCCATCTAAATCCCATTGGGAAATGAATGATCCAACATTGAGACTGAAATTATGTCATGCTGGGGATGCATGTGCTATACTTTTCATGAAAAGAGAGCAGCTGTCCAAAGTCATGATCACTTCGTTGGTCTTGCACAGTTTACGATTCAAATGCACACGTTTGACTGAAAACAGTTTTTTTTTTTGCAATAGCTTTTGATCCCATTCAGTGACATGTTTCAGAGGAAGGATCAGCAGCTGAAAGCACAGCAAGGAACTGTTGAAAATCATATCCGGCGGATAGTTGAATTAGAAGCTGAAGTGACTTCACTGCAGGTATGTGAAGATCGATTTCTCTTTTCTGTGATGTGAGTTGCTGTTGACATTTATGATTTACCGCGACTACTTTATTCGTGCGTTTGCACATTCTTTTCTTCGCAAGTATCACGCAGAGATGAACCTATTTTACTGCAGATCGATTCTTTCTCTATTCTTCTTTCCTTTCACTTAAACTTATTGCTTTTGTTAGCGGATTTCATTTATTTTGTTACCGTTTTTTCCAGTCGCCTCGAAAGATTGTACCTATCAAATAAAAACTCCCTCTGTCCAATTTACATCTTGCAGAATGGATAGAGGGGATTTGCAAATTTGTGATAACGTGTATATTCATTT